GACGCCCTGTCGAGTGCACGATTTACCCCGACGCCCTTATGAGGGCACGATTTACCCCGACGCCCTTATGAGGGCACGATTTACCCCGACGCCCTTATGAGGGCTCGATTTACCCCGACGCCCTTATGAGGGCTCGATTTACCCCGACGCCCTTATGAGGGCACGCTTTACCCCAAGTGCACGCTGCCTGCGGAAGCCCACCATAGAAGCTAAGCGCGTCAGACCAGCCTTGTGCACCCGTACACCTGCTCCCCTCGCAGGCCACTTTGTGGTTTTGCTCGATTATCTTGCATCCGGTAGTGGGCAGGGACGCTCGCAAAGGTGTGAAGTGTAACACTCATCTCACAAACATGGCATGCGTTTCTCTTCAGAGCAAAGCCGCTGCCCGTAACTTCCACTCTGAGCACACGCTGTCACAACAAGTGAGGAGCTGACACTGACCTGCACTGCCTGTGCTGGGGGGGCGCTGGGGGCCTCCGGGGGACCCCATGTTGCGGTGCATGGAGCCTGGGGGGGGTGAGAGCATGCTGGCGTCGCCGAGAGAGGCCGGGGCCCCCAGGGTGCTGCCGGGGCTGTAGGGCAGGCCGCTGGGGCTGCTCACTGGTACGGCCACGTGCATGGAGAAGCTCTGCTGGGGCAGGGCAGCCGGCTGGAGGGTGGGGGCAGGGTGGGAGGGAAGACACGGAGGGCATCAGTGAAGGCCGGTAGCAGCCACCCAATTGGCTCCCGCCAGTCACGTGGCCGCCACCGCAAGCGGACGGGAAAACCAGGAATCTGTCAGCAATCCGACATGAGAGGGCAGCCACAGAGACAAACAGAGGCTCCATGTGAAGACGGCGGGTTTGGGACCTTTCAGCAGCAGGGAGAGATACCCGGACCGCAGCGCCTCTCACTAAACGTTGGGGGGGGGGGGGGGGGGGGGGGGTGTTTGTGACCTTGGGAGAGCTTCACACCAAACAGCTGCTGGCTGAAGAACAGTAAGAGTGGCGAATCGGCGACCCCCCAGGCCTGCTCTCCTCTGCAGGCCGCTCCTGAGGAATAAGCCGCACCGCACGCATGCCATGCAGGCTGGCACTCTCTGGCAGTCAGCACCGGCTGGTGTCTTTTTAGGGCCCCCGACTCCCAGCATCCTACCACCACAGTGCTGACGACCAAAGCCTGCGCCAGTGGCTCCGGAGAGGTGCAGAGCAGCCAGTTAGTGCCTTCATTAGTGCATTAATAGGGGCTATGGGGGGCGTCTGGGCTGCGGAACAGCTCAGCTTAATGTGGGACCATCATGGCTGTCGACCACAATGAGATCACGGGCTGGTTAACGCACGAGGGGACTCAGCGGCACGCAGACAGCCACTAACATTTCTGCAAGTAGATGACCACCTCAAGGGAAGAGGCGGCCATCATTTGTCGGCCAGGAGGCTGATCTTCTACAGAGGGGCAGCTCGGTATGTAACCCGAGGAGGGATGGGGTCAGTGACCAGCCGGGAGGCCCAGTGAGGTCTGAAAGACAGGCCATTCCAGCAGCGTGATCTTACCAGGGGTGGAAAGAATGAAAAACTGGCAAAAGAATTAAAGAGTGACCCATTTTAAATTGACTGGGCCTTTTCCAGATAATAGGTGTGTGTGTGTGTGTATGGGGGCAGGGGGGGGGGATGTTAGAACGAAAAAAAGGTGAAATCCTTTTTTCCACAAAACCAAGCAGAAACGTGGCAATTACTTACGATTTTATGATTTCTCATCATATTATCAAACTCCTCATTAATTTTTTTATACTTTTCTTCAGTGTGGGGGGTGAGGACATAGGAGGCGTCTGGGTCCGGGCTATCGCAGCCTCTGTGCTCTTTCTTGTTTAGCGCCTGTGGTGGACATCAACATAGAAGAGCCAATCAACACAAAGCGGGCCCGAGGGGAGACAGTACTTACAGCACAGCGCGTGAACATTACATCACTGTCTTTGCCTGAACGGTCGTCCACGAAGGGGCTGTGCCCAAAACAGTCATCGGGTTCAGGGCTGGCACAGTCACTGTGGCCCTTGTTTCTTAATTTCTGCAATAAAATTGGAGATCTCACACATACGCACATAAAGCACAGCCCAGAACTGACAGACAGCATCAGCTCTGTACATTCTGGCTTGCTTGCACCTGAAAATAAAAACACAGCTTGACAAAAAAATCATAATCTTTGTAAACACAACCTTTGCGGTTTTAAATAATGACAATTTAAATGTGTATTGCTGCTAACTCGTTTACAGCTGGCCATATTAATGCATCTCAATGCAGCAAAATGTTGGGTATGAAAAGCAGAGAATATTATCTGGTCTGACGCGCCTGGAGGTAAACATTACACACAGGAATGCATTTCATAAGCGATCAAGGATCTGAAGCTCTGTCAGCGTAAGTTACGGATGATGTCACACCACGGAGCTGCTTGGCAGCAGATTCCAGACGTTTCCTTGGCCATTTTGTCCCATCTCCCATGAATATGCAGCCTCACTGCCCTTCTCTGGATAGCTGGAGAACAAGTGAAGTCTGCCTTCTCTGTACCAATGAGCTCCACGGCTGGGAACTCCACACTTGCATGACTTGCAATTAGTACATAAACATTTAATGTACCAGTCCATCATAGAATAGGCACATGTGCGTGAACCCAACATAATATTAGCAAGCATCCCCATTTTCTGTAGAGATTTCAGCCTAATTTCCATTGGAGAATATCTCCCTGATGATAAATGTAAGCCCATGTGGACAGTATATTTTCAGATACATACCAGTGTGCTTTGCTGTGCATTTATTTCTTCTGCGAAAACGCCTTTGTGGGCTATTTCCTGTGGGCTATTTCCTGTTTACTGAAAGCTTGTCTTCACTTCAGGTCCTAACAACCCCCTTGTTTACTGTGGAACTGTGCACGTCACCTGCCAAGGTTCAGCGAAGTGGGTTGCAACTACAAATTAGAGCTCCAACCTGCCCATTATCCAAGTTGTTTGAGCGGCCGGAAGGGGGGGGAGCAGGGCTGGTAAGGGGGGCTTTGCCAAAGGCAACCCCCCCAGGGGAGCCAAGCGGTCAGGATGGAGGAGAAGGGAAGAGAGTGAGAGTCGGCAGACAAGCTCACAGAAAACAGAAGCTACAAAAGCCAAACTCCTTTCAGCAATGCCACAACACAAAGGCCGCAAATGCATGTGCATGCCGTGTTAGGACAGTGTCATTATGGGGACAGTGTGTGGCTCCACAGGTCAGGACGCAGAGTCTGTGATCAGAAGGTCAGCACAGTGGTATCAACGTCAGGTTCCGGAGCCAGGCCCTTACGGCCTACGACTGCTCCAGGGA